CAGCAGGAGAAACAAGAAAATTCAGCAGCAGAGGGGGGCTGACAGCCCTTCCTTTAACTGAATTTGGGGCAGACCTCACCCTAGGTATCCTCAACCAGTTTTTGCTTGTGAAAAGAAGGGCTGGAAGAGAAGAGGAAGAAAGAAAAAAACCCAAACCACACAGGGAAGTCAGTTCCTCCCCCTTCATTCAGCATATAAGAACCGAGCCAGGCTCTCCCTGGGCCAGGTGGAGCTGCACAGGCATAACTCCAGCTCATCAAGTAGGAGCCAGATGAAAGATACCAGCGGGGACCCACTGCGGTCCCCCTCACCCAGTACCTGATGTGAGCTCTGCTCTCTGTGCAAGCTACCTGCAAAACCTGAAGCTGTTCAAAAGACCGATCTACCTTCACGATTAGTCAGCCTTGGGTTTAAGACTGATACACGGGCAAGAACTTCATGAGCACTCTGGGAGATTTTAAAAACGTTCCTCCCTTCTGCTGCGGCAGCACACCGCCCACGGACCACGCTCCTGGAAATCACTGCCAGGCTTCTCCCCGAACAGCAGCGTCGACACCGCTGCCTGGGCTGGGTCCCAGCTGAGGGCCAGGCACCCCCTTCCCTCCCTTTCTTCCCTTCCCGTCCTAAAATGTCACACTTCTCTCCCAGCCATCCCGTACTTTGGCTCCCTGCAGCGAGAAAGGGATGTTCCTCGGGATGTCTGGGCTGGACACGGAGCAACCCTCAATTTGAGTAAACAAAGGCCTGGCTCCTGGCGTGCAGGTACCACCCTACCCTGACCTGATGCCTGCTGTCACCTGTGGCAGCCAGCAATCTCACAGAAAAGGCCACTTCGGCACAGCAGGAGAGAATACAAGGTGACCTGCTCGCCGAGGGCAAGCTCAAGGAGGAGCTCTCCGGGCTGCGGCGAGTATTATTCTGTCTACAGTTCCAGGTGGAAGACCTCCGAAGGGCAGAGGCGTTTACGGCTCATAAAGCACCGTGTGGGGGATCTCAGACAGCAATGGCATTTTTACGGCTAACGCGGCAACTTTCCCAACGCCAGCTGGGGGAGCGGCGGGGCCCTGAGCCCCTGCGCCGTGCCGGCACCGAGGCCGACTGCCGGCCGGGGCAGC